TACCACCAGAACACACGTAGCGAGGAAACGGTGCGCAATAAATTTAACTCTGTGGTCGTATCCAGTAATTGCACCGTGCACAAGAGCTACTAGAAGCTGCTACAGAAAACCTGCATTGCACTCAACATACGTGTGCTTTGGGGCTGTGCCAATCGTAGCAGAGTTGAATCATCACACGCCAGCAGCTCCTGGTCCTCCCGTGATCTCCGTGCAAGTGATACAGCTCCTACGACGCAGCAATCTGCCTACTCCAAACACAACAGCAAAACAGTCATTAATCACAGAATGGTTTGGGTTGGAAGGGACCTCAAAGATCATCCAGTTCCAACCCCCCTGCCATGGGCAGGGACACCCTCCACTACACCAGGTTGCACAAAGTCTCATCCAACCTGGCCTTGAACACTTCCAGGGACGGGGCATCCACAACTTCTCTGGGCAACCTGTGCCAGTGCCTCCCCATCCTCAGAGGGAAGAATTTCTTCCTTAGATCTAATCAAAATCTCCCCTCTTTCAGTTTATAACAAACACAGGGAAAACGCTCTGGGAAATGCTCCTTCTTTTCCAAAGGCCAGGTGACTCCTGACTCTCAACCAACCATCCACAGCACCATCCCGTCAACCCTTTCTGGCTGCCGTGCTCCCAGCCAGCCAAGAGACTTCCTCCCACGCTTTGGGGGCAAACCATACAAAAACAGGAACGAGGAAGACAAGCTCCTCAACTCTCTGCTCAGCTACTCCAAACACTTGACTTCTGGTGGTTTGAGTGTCTCACCACGCTGCATGCCAGCGGCAGAGCAGGAGGAGTACACGTTTCAGCATCAGAAGAAGTCACAAAGCCAACGTCTGCGTCAGAGCCAGCCCAGCCCTGGCGGTGCCGTTCCTCCTCCTCACCTTCCGCAAGGACGAGAGCCTGCGCTGCCCGTTTTCAGCCGAAACACAGAAATCCATTAAATAAACAGATCTCGTGTTTAAAACAGCGGATAAGCGCGTGACTGGCAGCTCACCACTCGCCTGGAAGAGCCTTTCGACCCCAAACACGACTTGGCACAATTCGCCCTCCACTAAAGGAATTCCAACAGGAGAAGGGAAGCATGGTGGGTATAAACCCTTCCCTTTCAAATATTGAAGCCCATGGTGCTGCTTAATGTTTGCGAAAGGCAGAGTCCGGGCTGCGCTGTGTGCTCCCCACTCCCAACGACATTCCTCTTCCTCCGAGAAAACCTTATTAACGAGCTTGCAAACGAGCACCCAACTGGGAAATGTCACAAACAAGAGTGGCTAATGCCCCAGAAAATCAAATAACTGAACACTTGGCTGATTGTGGTGCTTTTCATATTTACTAAAAGAAAAAAAAAAAAAAGCTTTAAATCAAAGTTTCTGAAGGGGTCAACACCTCGCTGAACAAAACAACTCATTTATTCGCTTTTAGAAATCTCCAGATGATAAATTACGTTGATGTTAATCACTTCACTGCATACTACGCAATTAATATTTGTACTTGATGGAAAGGGAAGGATTACTGGAGATGGGACAGCACACACATATGGCTGATTTTTCATGTAAGTGGGCCCAAAAACGTCTCCCACTGTAACAGCAGAGGCTGAAACGGATTCCACCGGTGCACGTTTCAAAAGTACACCCGCAGACATTCTAAAGGTGAACGCGCAATTGATTGTGACTTCAGAAAAGCAAGAAAAAAAAAACAACTCAGAGAAAACGCCAAATCAAGACCTCAATGCTTGCACTTCCAGTATCACGTAATGAGATAAGGAAAAGTTCCACGCAGGCTGAACTTCAACGTCTCCGAGAATATCTGGTTCCATTCCATTCCCTAATGATATTTTAATGCATTTTGTTGCTTCATTTCCTTCCTAAAATTACGCTCCCCGCCCCGCCCTTCCATCCCTCCCCGACAGATCCGAATCGCAAAAAGAAAGCGGCTCCCGCCGGGATCCGGGGGGATTTTCAAACCACCCCGCTGCGAGGCGCTGCGGCCGCCCACGTTATCCACGCAGGGAAGCGGCGTCGGGACCGCGAGGGTGTGCCACCGCCGGTCACGCTCCCTTCGCTTGGAGAAGCATCACCGGGAGGGCTTCGTACACGTTCCGGAGCGCTGCTTTGCAGAGATTCCTGCTCGGGAGCACGCCCTGCGGTCGGGTGGAGATGTGTATCTCAAAACTTCGCAGAGGGCAGGCCGTGCCATGGCAGACACGCAGCATTCCTTACTCCACGAGAAGGACAAGCGAGCAGTCAGCATCAACCAGGCTGACCACAGCAAACCAGTCTTGTCCCCCAGTACACGCGTGCTATTTTATTTCCGTAAACTCGCTATTTTATTTCTGAAGTTTAGCTTAGGTCACTCTGCAGACTTCAGATTTCTGCACCTTCCTTCCTCTTTTTAGCAGAGGAGAACATTTCAGTAAAATAAACAGGCGTTTCAGGCAAGACTTCCAAGTAAGTGGAAGTACAAACGCTCCCGACGGTCAATGACGCTTAAGGTCCTCGTTTACCGCAAGACATGTGAGATACCCAGAGTTCAGAAAATCGCCTTAAAAAGAGAGAAGTTAATCATTTTGAAAGCAGAAGGAGAAGGAACGCCTCCTCCTCCTCCCTGCTGCCCACCACCCCAGCTTTCTCCTTGTTTTTTCCTCAAAAAAAACCCCAAAACAACAAAAACCCAACAACTTTTGTGTGGCATCTTACAAAAAACATCCCCGTACTCTGAAACTCAGTCAGACAAAAACCGCCTCGTTATCTGAGAAGGCTCCATCCATCATCCTCCTGTCCTTCCCCAATGCGTTTCATGCTCCAGCTGGATACATTAAGCGCGGAGAAACACAACGTCTGCTGAGAAAAACGTTTCCCTGTGCCCCGCTGGTGTTCCCGAGAGGTGTGTCCGCTCGGCAGGAACGGGCAGGACTTACGGGGACAGAGCACAGGAGCTGACGCTGGAGCAGCTGACGTGCCCGCGTGGTAACAGTGGGCACCGGGAAGGTGCAAACAGTGATCCTTTGCTCCGATTGCAAATCCCATCTCTACGAAGCACAATCAGGCCTGGGTGTAGGAGTCCACGTTCCCTAAGAGGCCAAGGCCACATCCAGAGAAGCTCTGATCGACACGCCCGTCCATGAAGACGAGAGGATCTCCCGTTGGCCAACACATCGCCAGCCTGAAGCAGGCAGAGCGCAGGGGTACCCGCCTGCTCCGTAACTGCCCTTTCCGCCCGGTCCAACAGCAGGTATCCAACGCAAACACGTCTGGACACGCTCCAGCACACGACGTCCCAGCACACAACTGCTGGGAGCCACCAGGTTTTGACGCATGGCCCGTCCTTCTCCTGGAACTCCTCTCCAGCCATCTGCTGCTGCCCGCAGACAGAACTGACTGCGCGAGCGTGGGTCGAGTCCCCGTCTACAAACATAACCACTTTTAACAAGCTCAGAGCTTAATCCAGACCAGAAGATGAAACCAAACCAGTTGGGAAGCCCTTTTTCTACTCATCCCGTTCCCTTCAAGGAGACTCTGCGCTAGCTCTGTTCCAACAAACAGCTCTGGAACAACCAAGGGGATGCTAAAATCGGTGGCGAGGGCAGAGCCCGGTGCAACGGGAGCCTCCAAGGCGTCAGCTGGAGACGGCGTGCGTCCCGCAGGACCGCCAAGTAACTTTGGTCCGCGTGTGCTTGGCCTTGGGAATCCTGAAGGGCTGCAAACAAAAGTAGTCAAGAAGTAATTTCTTTAAGGAAGAACGGAAAAAACATTCCTGATTTTTTCTGTGGAAACGGTGGCCCTCTCCTATCCCATCGAACGATCAGGATTTCTGAGGACTTTCTGGAAGAAAACCATCTGATGCCCTTTCAGACAAGGGAAGAAGTCCTGCAAGACTTCAATACCTCTGCAGAACAGGGGAGATGGGATTATTTTTTTTCCCCGTTAAGTATTTGATCAAGCCTCACAAAGGTGCTAATGTATTATTAAAGCTAATGGAGCTCTACGAGAAATGTTAATGGACATGGAGTTTGCATAAATGAATTACACATTAGCACAGTCGCAAGAAATCCAGTATCTGCCAATTTAGGTGGTATCTGATCATTTCTGTTTTCCTCATTACAGGAACATTACTTCCCGCTAGTTTCAGAGATAGGAGAATTGTAACCAAGATGTTCATAATGAAACTACATAATGAAGCAGACGAAATGAATTAATACAAAACTTCCTCTTCCCCTTCTGATGTGATGTTTGAGCTGAAGCGAACCTACGGAACAAGCACTGAGTCACCCTCGCACCCCGGTGTTCCGAGGCGCTGTCTGACTCGGCTTTTGGGAGCCGTTTTCCGGGGAGAGGTGTGTGTATGCAGCAGCTCTGCCATCTCCACCAGCTGAAAGTCAGGCACGTCTGCACTGGGGACCACAGGTGTTTGCGGG